CACCCCACCCGACCATCTTCCCCTACGCTCACCATCCCCCGCGGAATGATTCTGATTCATGCTTTCCAAGTGTCAGCTTACTTTAAGTTAAACCATTTTGCGCGTGTGGCTTACAATGTATTATTCGAAAGTCGCGATCAATTTCGTTATCCTTATCAGAAATGAGAGGAGATGATGGGAAATCCTTAAAGCGCCGGGAGACGATGGAGATCTATTTGAGGAGCCTTCGCTTCGTCCATCGCTTCATGTGGGCAGGACCATTTACATATGTCCAAGGAGATATGTACATATGTCCGCAAATGCGAAGGATTCTCCCTTAGGCTCGATCCACACCAGGACGGGCGCGCTGCGCCGCGCTCCGGTATGAACTCCAGGCCAAGTCTCCCTCGTCGGCCGATCGCGAGTCAGTCTTTTCTCATTTTTATCCTCTTCTGAAAAATAGTAGGCAGTAACAAATGTCGACGCGTGTCGAATCCGCGTGCCACGTCGCGACGACAGGTCTTACATAATATATCGCTGGGTGAATCGGGAACCCATATACCAGCCGGTACGTACGTCATCGGTGTAGCCGGTAACAGCTGGCGAAGCTGTCGATTTCCGTCGCTCCACCTCTATCCTCTTCTCTTCTCTTCTCTTCTCTCTCACTGTCTGTGAGCCAACACGTGCGACATACGAGCGGGTGCCAACACGAGGGGTCTCCCCCTCCCGTTTCCTCCGTTTCCCGTATTTTATATTTCACGCGGAATGGCGCCAATGTGAATTTCCGGATGTCGCAGCACGACCCGGACGAATGTTCCCCAGGAGGCGAGGACGGGAATTTCATAATGTTCGCAAGGGCCACCAGCGGCGACAAACGGAACAACAACAGATTCAGCTCCTGCAGCCTGCTCTCCATCAACCCGGTCCTTAATGCGAAGGCACGCTCCCCTAAGGGATGCTTCGCGGGTAAGTAACTCTTTGCCTAATTAGCTGCAGAATGTCGCAAAGAACTGTATACGAAGGAGAACGTTTAAAGTTGAGTCCAAATGTCCAAACGAAACGGGGTTTCGCATGCAGGGTTGTGCACGCTGACGGCGCTGCATCGAGCCATCGAGCCATTGAGCCATTGATTCACGGGCGCAACCGAGTTTACCGAACGGCGAACGGCGAACGGCGAACGGCGAACGCCAAGCGTCTAATCGGCGCATTCGATTGGATCCTACAAAAGCCGCGCTAATGGGCTGTCTATCCAACTGTCGAATGCCAAGCGTCAGCTGGCAATGCGCCTTTCCTTGTTTCTCCTGTCGCTCGTAAATCCAATTGAATGGAAGTTTTGCCAGAGGCCACCAGGTCGTTTCCATATTTGGCCTTTGATCGAAACTTACGAGAATCAAGAGTTTCAGCACTAAAGAGTCATATGGCACACAATCTTTTTCTGGCGTTTCGCTGATTTGGACTCATTGGAATGCACGTTTACGTTAAACCTTCCCACGTGCTATAGCAAAGTATCCATGACATCGGTGTACTGCACGCTGCACGCGTTTAAGTATTTCGCGATGCTAATTCTTCCCCATCGAGAAATTGCCTATTGCAGCCAGAGGCTGGATAATTTTGAAACTCGGCACCATGGAATCCTAATGAGTTAATCAATCGGTTACACGAGATGACGCCACTGCTACTCACTGAGGATCGGATGGATGGTCGATTGTCGCCTCCCAATCCTTCCAGCCCTCCCGACTGCTCCTATCTTATCTCGCATAACGGCGCTTATGCTCAACGATTTTCTGAGGGAAACTAAACAGTTGCTGAAATCGCAGAAAACCGGGCAGCCATTTGCGGAAACGGCGTAGTGGAGGAAGGCGAGGAGTGCGATTGCGGCTGGGAAGAAGATTGCAAAGATCCTTGCTGTCACCCTCAACGTCGGCATCACGCGGCGGTCCAGGTGCCCTGCCGCCTTGCCGAAGGCGCGACATGCAGTCCGAGTCAGGTGAGTCGGCAACTCTTCGTTCGTCTCTGAGCGCTTTTCTTACTTCGATCAGTCCTGCGCTGCGAGTCTAATTGTCTTCCAATAATCGGCTTGGGAAACTTTATCGAAAACTTAACGACAAGCTACTCCCGGTTTGAGGTTACGGAGAAGCAGTGAGCTGCTGACACGTAATTTACCTTATCTGGTCTGTTCGTTCCAATGTCTAACCCGTGAAGCCATGGTGCTCCCTTAATACTACTCCTTCCGACCGCAACACCCCTACGATTCCGCTATCCTTCCCTTGGAGTAGCATAGCGAGGCAGGATCCCTGGCCTTGCTACTAGCGACCCGACATTCCGACATTGGCAGCTGAGCTTCCCAGAAGATGCTCAAGCGATGCTAAGATCTTGGGGCGAGGACTATGAAATTCTCTGCGGAGGGTGCGAACGATAACGGTGAATTGGGACGATAAGAAGCCATGGATGACCTCTCGTCTTCGATATCAATCGTGGATGCGGACGGTTCTCGGTGAGATATTCGAGCTAGCATAAGGAGACGAGGGGATGGCCGCGGATGGGCGCGGATGGGCGCGGAAGGGCTCCAGTCGGTAAGTGAAGGTCCATCGATCAAGCGGTGCTCGGATTCCGTCGAATCCCTCCGCAGCCGCCCCTGGCTAACCTAACCAATGGCTGGGCATTTGTCCAGGGCGGCACTGGAGTAGGTAGGCTGGCTACAGGGCAACTTGGCAACTTGGCAACTTGGCAACTTGGCAACTTGGCTAGTTCTAACGCGTCTTTGATAGTCAAACATGGCGGAACGGCGCCACGCGACGGACGATCAGCCGGGAATCCTCGGATCTTCTCGTCCTCGTGGCTGAGCAACGTATCGAGGAGCTTCATCGTCATCGTCATCAATATCAGGAACAGGATCAGCTGAAGAGGCTGCAAGAGTATTTATATTTTCAATGCGTCACGCATTGCCGTGGCAGATTTTCAATGCGGCTTTCCGTGAAATGGGAATAATTAATCAAATGAGTCTCAGGCGCAGCGAGACGTCGATTAGCGCTGGTTTAATAGTGGCAGTAGTGGCGAGTGTGGAGGGAGGACCAACCGTCATCGTTCCTATCCAAATGAAAGTTGAGTCCCAACTCGACAGAGAATCCCATAGAGCAGACAGGCGGCGGAGAGAACGTGGATGAGGACAAGATAAGATAATTAATCTTGCTACCTTGCAAATCGGACGGATCCTCGTTTACGGAACAGCCGGCCAACTTTGACTACCTTTAATGGTGATAAATTGAGGCTTCTTGGAACGACGTAAGAAAATGAATGAGCGGCCTCCTAGGAATCCGAATAGTCGCCATTCTGCACCTTCGACGTTCCCGGCTTCACGTTTCTCGAAAAATCATTTCCATTCTTCCTTCCCCCTCCCGCGCGCCCGCCCCCGCCCCCGCCCCTTGCGTGCTACAATAATTACCGAACAAGAGATAAGGAAAACGCAAAGGGAAAAACCGCAATAACTTTGCCTGCTCGTTGGAGTGCGGTTGCCCAGGAGTTTAGTGTTTTGTTCACTCGGGTTCTGCTGGCAGGGACCCTGCTGCACGTCGGCGTGCACCCTGCGACACGGTGAGAAATGCAGAGACGACAACGGATGCAGAGACGCCAGTTTCTGCGACGGCAGCGGGCCGCACTGTCCAGAGTCCATCAGCAAACCCAACAAGACCATATGCAACGAAGAGTTCGTCTGCTACATGGGGGTGAGTGTGCCAGCTGATCCCTGCGGCGCCTGTGTCTTCCCTTCGGCTTTCGATTCTCTAACCTGCGCCTCCTTCAGGAATGCACGGGCAGCATTTGCCTCGCTTACGGATTGGAGTCCTGTCAATGCATCGCACAACCGGACGACCCGCCTACCAAGAGCTGTGAGCTTTGCTGCAAGCTGCCTGGCGACAAGCAGCCATGCATGTAAGGCTTAAGACATGTCGCTTTAAAACATGCGTATTGCCCTCTGACTTTCTCTCTTCTTGCAGATCCTCCTTCGCTTGGAATTCTCCTCCCTTCGACATTCCGGACATGCTGTCGAAGCCAGGTACACCCTGCAACGACTACAACGGCTACTGCGACGTGTATCAGAGATGCCGCGAGGTGAGGGCTCGTAGTTGTTCGGTTGCGAACACGGACGCTGTCGGTCGACCTAAGTCGACTCTGAGGCCTGGGGCACACATTTATTTTTTCGCCTTGCGGCGCTGAAATTCCAATCTGAGACGAGTCAGATGGGACACCACCGCACAGACAGTTGGGGTCGCCGCACGGCCGATAAGGGGATGTGTGCATCGGGCCTAAGGCTGCTTTAAGCTCGCTGGAGCCGTCGTTGGCAGAACGAGGTCTATCGGTTGTTGGTCCGACTGTTCGAAAGGATTGTTCTTGCTGACGCAGGTCGACCCCAGTGGACCACTGGCTACGCTCCGGAGGCTGCTTCTCTCGGATGCGAGCCTCGCTCATTTTCATCGGTGGGTCATTGACCGTTGGTACGCAGCTGCCCTCACGACCCTGGCACTCTTGGCACTTCTGGTAAGACTTTGCTCAACGACCGATTCGCCGTAAGTCAACTGCAGACGACGACCTTAAGGCAGAAGAAGTTTAAGTGGCGTCCCACTTTCATGAGGTTTCAGTCGTTTATCCAAGCAACTTGTGAAAATTGAGATGCAGCCTTCTAGAAGTACGGCGCACGCGACATGCGCCTAAACGCACCTCTTCTTCTTCTTCTTCTTCTTCTTCTTCTTATTCGCACGTCCAGTGTGTGCTTTGTCTCTTACCGTTCGCTGTGTATTTCTACAGTACTCCCACGTCTCTTTGCTCTTTACAATCCATGTCCTCTCATTATTATGCATTTAGTAAGGGCGCATAAATGTTAACGGTCACTTTGGGAGGAATCAAAGCAGCGAGATCGTCTATTCCGAGAGTCGATGCTTAGCGCCGTAATTTGGTGCTTTGGAGATTAGAATGGCCGAGTCGGCACTCCGGTAGCCAAGCATAACCTCTGTGCAGCTCACGAGCTTCGGGCGAAGTGTCTGCCCGCTAGCTTGCACTAGGACGTCCATTGACAAACACCATTAGAGCTCCATGCCAAAATATAGGTTTATCGGGATATCCATTGTTGGCTATAACGCGGGAACAGATTAGACGAATAATATGGGAGGAAGGGAGAGCAGAGGGAGGCAGAATCCACGGACCGTTGGATTACTTCACGCGACAGAGCTGGAGAATAGAAGATCTCTAGATCATTCACGAGCACGGATACAAGATTTCTCCTTTTGAATATATCGATAATTAAATAATATGGAGCAATCCAGGCCTCGATGTTTCGTCTATATGGAAAAAAGAGACAAAACATGCGCACTTATCCGACCGATTATCGGGTGACGTTCCTGACGTTGTGAATTCTAGCCCATTTGCATAAACACCTTTGATATTGCGTTTTTAATGGCTGCTAATGTAATCCAAACAAGGTTCGACTGTTTGGATATCAGTTTGCCCTCATAAATTAATTCAATTTACGGATAAAGTTGAACCCGCTCCGTATCCACTGTAACGTAATTCTTTTCCTTGACCCGACACCGATAGCAAAACATCCGAGAACGAACTATCTTCGAGAACCAACCTACGTTACCTTCGGCCGTCCACCCGTCGTTCGTGCATCCGCAAGCCAGGCGGGCGCCAGCCAATTCTTTTTGTCACCGGGAACTGACTAGCCGGTATAAACTGGGAGTTGGGGTGGAACAGGCCCAACTCCACCAAGAACGAGAGCTCTGACGGAACCTATCGGACGAGGCGGTAGCTTAACGGATCCTGTCGATTTTTGGGGACGCGTAAAATCGAGAAACGCAACCGTAGGTGCTGATCTTTGGGGTCGCGTAAAATCGAGAAACGCAACTGGATGCACGAACGGGAGTGGACGGTTACGGAAATGCACGGCCGCTCAGGCTGCTAGGTTTGAGGTAGAGAGGGTCGGAGTAAGAGTACGGCAAATAGCGGGAGCGACAGAGAGCGAATCTTAACTACCTATCGAAATCTCTTCACCGATTAATAAATTGGGAGACTCACCGGAGCTGGTGCAGCTAATCCGTGGAGGCCGAGAACTGCATCCAAAAGACACTCACATGGTCACTGCACTACACTTTCGGAACACTCACAGGAATTCATAGAATTGCCTGAATATCGCGAGAACAACGCGAGAACTGTACGAATCGAGAACACGCTATACCGTAGCGAAACACGGCAAGAAAAACTATCAACAGACAGCACGCGAGCGCGAGCCAGCCCGTGACACGTCGGTCGGTGCCTCGAGACAGACTGCTTTGACAATAGCCAAATGCCAAATTCGGGAACTAATCATTCTGATCGGTCGAGAGCCTTTTAACCGATAACTCTTCTATCTCCTTCGAGTCGTCCCTTTAAACCAAATCGAGAGCGTTCCTTAACGAATCGGTACGTATCTTCTGGAGATCCTCCACGGCCGCTTCCCCAGGGCATCGGACGACAGCTGGGCACCACGTCCTTAACTCGGGCAGGAGGTTCCTCTCCTGCCCTTAACCGTGTCACAACCATCTCCGCCCGCTTTACAGCCCTTTGCCCATCTCCAGCGGGGCGCCGGTGTTTCACCCGTGCTTCTGCCGGTCCGTGGAGACGTCTCCGTCGGGTCGTCTCCTCTGCCGGGCAACTCGGTACGTCGAGACTATCACCCCTCGGCAGATTCGAGTACCTCGACCTCAACTAAACAATGACGAAATCTTACGAGAGCCTTGACATAACTCCACGAATCAATCCGAAAGCGTAGCTTCTGAGCAGGGTGGCGACCCGAAGGGAACCAGAAATCGAGAACGTTATCTGTATCGGTAACCGGAGCCGCCTTGGGACCGTGATTCGAAAAATCACGTCACACCACATACGGGAATCAGGGAGTTACGGCAGTTCACCCTCGGGCTGTACGTCCTCTATCCCCATGCATTAACGTTCCGGAAATAAGATTGTCTTCGCTCTCGTTGTTAAAACCAGGCAGGCATCTATCAGGCAACTAGCAATCCTTCGTTCCATCAAGGGCTCTTTCGAGCGTCACGACGTGCTCCCGCCACCCCCTCGCGTCTTCCTTTCCACCTGATTGCGTCGCGTTCTCTAGAATCCTTTAGGATTATCTTGCTTCGATCCCCTTCGCCTCGAGCACTGTAGAGAAGTCTTGAACTTCCCCTGTGTTGCAGGTACTCCTAACTCGTCTCTTAAGCAAGCGGGCCGGATCAGGACTCAAGACTTTCATCGAGCAAGAGAAGAGGAGAGGTGCCGGATGTGACGATGCCCGTTCGAAAGAAAGGAAACTCATCGGGATGATGACTCTCAAGAGGCGAATCGTCGAGACTATGAAGAAGATCAGCTCGCCCCGCAGGACCAAGGAATCTTTTCTCTCCTCGACAGCTTGCGTGTCAGGATCGGCCTATCCGGTCTCCAGTCGGAAGGAGAAGACCTTCGCCGTCGCAGCGAGGGAGAGACGCTCGAGCAGGAGGCAAGTGGACCCTGGGAAGCTGACCCAGGGAGCGGCTCCCAATGATAGATTGAGAGCGGAGAAGTTGATGATCGGATCGAAGAGCGGCAACCGGATGACGGCACCAACGTCCAGCGGCATCGCGGATAGGCGCAAGGATCGTTGCGGCAGATGGGTCTATATTTCAGATGGCAATCGACTGGACGACTCCGTGACGAAAGATAGACTTGGCGGTATCGTTAGGAGTTTCCATCGAGGAAAATCATCTCCCGTAAGAAAAAAATTCAACGGGTCTACATACACGAAGATGTCCTGGCGGAAGACAAAAAACAAACTGCAATTGCTGGAGAAGGTCTGTTCCTCGTCAAATTTTCAAAACGGAAATTTCGGGTCCTCGAAGAGGCAGCTTCAGAGTCACACGGAAGCTTTGGTGCCAACGGATGTGCCCGAGACAGAATCCAGAACTCTGACGACATCCGATCGTTCTGAGTTGCTCGACGAGAGTTAGTGTAACGGAAATGACGAACTCATTTGTGCTCGATCTTTGTATTTGCCAAAGAGTGCATAATTATTTTCGTGTAATCTACGATGGGACACGGCAGGGCATTCATCGATGCGAGTGATCTCACTCTGGAGACAATGGAGACAAATTGTCAGAAACAAAGTAGAGTAGAAGTGAAACTTACTGATTGTATATATTGTAAATAAATGAGCGTAGTGTTTGGCCAGTGTCCACGTAGATCGTTAAAAAGCCTTTTTTCTTCTTTTTTCGAATCAAAAGACAGTAGAGACGCTGACTGGCGCTCAGCAGCGAATCTCCTTACACAGAAGTGGTCCAGACGTAGCCCATTGCTCTAGCTGTTTATAAAACCGTTCTTCACTCTAGTGCAGTTTATAATAAAGCACACGTCATTATTCGCGGTTGCCTACCGCGGTCGCACGGTAATCGTTAAGTTGCTGCAAATTTCCCGATTCCTCCTGTCCTCTTCCGAATTATCTTATGAAAAAAATCATAAAAAAGACTTACTTCCGTAGAAGATTTGAATATCGATTGGATTTGGATTGGTAACTAAAAAAAGTGAATGAGGAAGTCGCTCGAATAGAGTATCGATCGGTAACAAAAGACTCGTGGAAAATTTATAAACAGCAACGCCATGTGCACCAAGCGTATTAAATCTCGAAGTGCAAAATTATCGTACGCAGTGATTATAAAGTTGCGAATTCATTTTGACCAGCACTGCAGCATCGCAGCATCGCAGCATCGCCTCGGTTGCTCTTATCATCGGTCGAGTCGGACCACACTTGAACGATGTGAGTACAGCGAGATCCATACTTTGATTCGATCATTCGATGATCTCGTGGCATGTCTCGCATGACATATATGTAGAGCACTTGTTCGATCGATTAGAGTCGAATTGTTTTGGTGGCTGGTCGTAGCGCAGGCGAACAATAACGCGGATGGTGGAAAAAAGTAGCAACGAAAGTGGCTGTAACTGTGAAAGAAAGTCTGAGCAGATGTATGTGAAAAAGGACGGAAGGTGGTGGGAGAGAACAAATGGGCAAAAAGACTGTGTTGCGGCATGAACGGAGAAAAAGAGAAAAAGAGAAAAAGAGAAAAAGAGAAAGAGAGAGGTGAGAACGATAGGTGGACCATGACAAGGTCGTAATACAAAGTGAATGCCAGCAGGTCGGCACTATTGATGGTGCGTCGAGGACTAGCGCAGCGCAATTGTCAGGGAAACGTAGACTGGTGGGATTGGGAGCGGGGCCGATCGCTCGTCTTCTCGATCGTTCGCAGCAGTGGCGCAGTTCGTAGCTGCCGTTGCCAGCTGATCGCAAACAGTTGGATCCTTAGTTCTGCCGAGACGGATCGCGAGTGACTTACAATTAGATTAGTTTGGATCTCGATTAGTTTCCAATGTCAAGCACCGTTCAGGGTGACCGAGGCCTTATCAGCAATAACCACGATAAGGCATTAAACATCCAGTATCTCTAAAACGTAGGAGCACCCGTTCCGAAGAATATCAAGAGTGACGCTTCCGTCTAGATTATCGCAGTTGCGTTGCTATAGCTAGGATAGACGAGACACTCGGCACGATGGGCAGTTCCCACTCTAAGGACTCGAAGGACCTCTACACCGGGTCCCAGGATTGCACCGTTAGAACGTGAGTTCAGAGACACGTTTGCTTTACGCACTTTTCTATGAGAGCTCCATTTCTATGAGTGCCATCGATTAATCCAAACGAGCCAAACGAGCCAAACGAGCCAAACGAGCCAAACGAGCCAAACGAGCCAATCCAGAGGCAGCGCCCGCTGCCTCGATTCTCTTCTTTACTTTTGCCACTCGCGCTTCCATGCTTCCATCCTCGCCACGTTTCTTGGGCCAACATTATTTCTCGTGGATAGTCTTATCGGAAGTGCACCACCCGGGGGGCACTACGATACTCAGTGATGACTTTGCTCGTAGTTAGGCCAGAGGGGCCGCCAACACGCCATTCTCGGGATGACGACATTTTACTAATCGTGATAAGAACCGTCGTTCTGGAATGAAAGTTCGACCGAAACTTTTCAAACTTTTACATAATCGAGCTCGTGGGACTTGCGAGGTTCGAGCAGTTTACCCTCAGCTGAGAGGCGCCAATAGATAACGCTGGAAGCTCAGAAGCTCGTAAGGCGAGGGGGCGTCTCAGACCAAAGGGAGGGGAACTTGTGGAATTCTGGCCGAACTGTCAAGCTAAAGAACCGAAACCTCTTTGGACATTTAATCGACAAAACTTCGACTTATCCTAAAGCCAGCGATAATCAAGCCGAAACTGGTTACGACTCTGCCGATCGTCACAGTTCACGCGGCTAATGGAGTCTTGAGAAAACTCGAAAGTCAAACCGTGGATCGTCCGGCCCCGCAGGCCACGAATGCTGTGCGTCTCCTTTGCGAATTCAACGTCCAGCTATTAATAACCTCATCTCAAATCCAAGTCTTTAACCATAATGCTAAGATGGCCAAGTGGCACCATTCGCGCGTTCGAATTCGGACACTGCGGACGTCATTGGCAATTTCCCGTGGTCCGGGGTGCCCAGTTTCTTGCTTCCTCTTATCCTTTTATTTTCCCAGAGCTCGTCTGTTCGTCTGTTCGTCTGCTCCTCCGAAGCACTGCTCAGACTTCAAAGAGTCAAATTTCGAATTTTCAGGTAGACGGGCATACGTAAAACAGAGTCATGAGGGAAAAGCGTGCTATGTGCTGCGCAATGCTAGCTGTTAATTGGACAGAATAATTATTCCTATCCGATCGTGACGGCAATCTTTTCAGGAATCTGATGACGTCGCATCGTTTCTCTTCGATTGCGCAAGCAGCTCGCTTCTTCCTCGGAACACGTAGGTGCGCTTATTTCTCTTGAGAATTTCACAAATCAGCCATACTGGACGCACACATATATTTACACATATATTTGCGATCTATGTATACATTTGTCGAATAAAACGAGCTAAGACTTTCGATTCGTTCTAATCTAAACAGCTGATAAAGGCTTTACCGCAAAGCTTGATATCGTCCAGTGAATAATTCCCGGAAACACAGAACAAACCAACTATGAAAACATTATATTCCAGGATATTTACTAAATTTTTGAAAAATACAATAATTTCGTTACATCGAGAAGTTTTGAACGCGAGGGCAGTTCGGTAAGCCGCTCGTCCTTTCTCTTTCCATCCGAGGTAATTCGAATGAAAGTACAAACCATGCTTGTACTCGTATTATGTAACCAGTCGTATGATTTTCACGACGAAACGAAACGAAAACAAGTATTTGTTGTGCGCGTCCGCCTTGCCCGACAACGGATAACCGATCACGCGTCCCGCGTCCCTTCTCTGCCATTGACCGTCCGTTTCGTCCGTTTCGTCCGTTTCGTCCGCTCTGTCCGGACTCCCGCGTACTTCGTAGCCGCGTGATCGATCGGTCTTTCGCGCTACGTTCAATGAGTCTCTCGGAGGTCTTCCTGGCTCCTTCCTGGCTCCAGGATTGCCCACTGCCTCCAGATCTGTTCAAATCCAATCTACAAAGTTCTTCAAATTATACAGGCCGCCAGTGGTTTACTTACTAAACCTTACTGTACTGGTATCCGTCTTCGGCATCGGATGCTCTGAGTTCAGGCTTCCGTTGTCTTCCAGCGGTGAACTTATCACATTTGTACTTGGTTGGAAGTTCGAGAAGTAAAAGGGCGACTGAAACGTAACATCCATCCTGGCTAGCCTGTCACTGATGGACTTTAGGGTGGCTACCTGATCAGTAACTGGTGCACAGCATTAAGTGCATATCTTTTAATGCGCGCGTGGAAGGAGTGACAACAGGATGCACCATTGGTTACACTATTCCTCTGTTTTTCTACTTCGGAGTAGCACGCAGCGCGCATCGTGGTTTCGATGACACATTGAAGAACAGGCACCAAGTACTGCGTGCCACAAGCGAAAATGAAAAATCGCGGAGATTTGCTACCACGGATAATGAGCTACACTGCAGTTAGCCTATTGGCAGAGCATTTTTAGGACATAAATTACAATCCAAAGTGTTTACCAAAACACAATTCACATCAATCTATAGTCTAATGATTGACGACTCATTTTATTCCACAATCCTTGGTGCTACTCAGTGGGCATAGGGTTTCGAAGCGTCACTTATTGCTCTTTGTCCCGTCCGTTTAAAGATAATTCATAGTCGTTTGCTATTTAAATTTCTGAGTCTCTTACCATTCCTTGGTATTTCAGAAAACACAAAAACAGCTGATTATATATACAAAGTTTTCCATCTTCCACTCACTGATCCACGAGTATTAGTTTATAATGCTGGGCTTGTTAAGCAAAATTTCAAGAAATTATTTGTAGAAACGTTTTAGCAGAGATACTTGCACTTAATCGATCAAAGTAAACAAAATTATTTGTGTGAAACATTAACACCACGCAATCTGTTCAAAGATCCAAATTTTCCGCAATAAGGCAATATCTTCGTAGCACGTGTCACCACTCACGTTGGATACGCTCCACGCGCCGACTAAGAGTCACGGGGGGAGGGGCGAGGAGAGAGAGAGAGAGAGAGAGAGAGAGAGAGAGAGAGAAAGAGAGAGAGAGAGCTCCTAGGAGGGAGGAATTTCTGAGCTCACGTAACTAAGGTGCTAATTGCGCAAAGTCGAGTTAACAGTGTGTCCCTTTGAGGGAAATTAGACATTGACTAGAGGGATTGCGACGTCAGAGGAATCGGCGAATCTGTTTTATTTATAAAAGCATAGCGAGGCGAGAAACGCTAAAGACTGTTGGCCACTTTGGGACGCCACATAAATGTGCATAGCAGAGGGGGCAACACGTGCTCCCTGCATTGCCAATCGAGCCAAATACCGAAAGACGCCTGATTTTCCGTCGGCGCTCCAACTATTGCCATGACCTTCCTCTTCCGCGTTCGAGAAACTGGCGCTCCCTTCGATGTCGCGATTAACCTCCTACTCGACTCTCAGTCCAAGATACGTATAGTTCCCGCAAGCTCTCTTTCTTTCTCTTGCTCCGTCGTAAAATGTCCTCGAGACATTTCCTACGATTAGCTTGTCAGTCATGCATTTTCTCTCGGGGATCAAACAGTGCACGGTACACAAGCAAGGACCCGGAACCTGCCAGATGGGATCAAACGCTCTACCAGCCTAGGTAACGTAGTTGAGACTGACGATCCTTCACTAGCTATAGATACTTACTGCTGTTCCAAAGTACAGGTCCATCAGAAGTCATCCATTGCTTCTTGCATGTATTAATATAGGCGTCTCAACGCACGCTGACGACGCCTTCTTTACGCCGCACTCATTCTCACGCGTATCGAGGAAAAGCGCTTAGCTACCCTCACCGACATCTACCAGAGAATCTATGCGTCAAATGGAGCTCCATTCGAAGGGTGAAGCAGCGTCATTATCCGTCGAGGAATCGAAGTTTGTCGACAAGGCGGCTGGCGACGCCACTACTCCCCATTAGGTACAGTTGAATGCAATTGGGTGGGAGAATCAGCCTTCGGATGTTTCTCTGTTCCGTCGGTCCGAACGAGGGGCGAGAGTGGCGCTTTCTGTCTTGGACCGACGCCAACGACGTCGTCGAGTTGCGTGGCGATCGTCGCTCCGTCGTTGAGCGAATAGTTTCAAGTGTTCTCTAATCGAGGGCAGGATGAGCACGCGACTGCGCGTCGCGACGCGCCTGCGTCGCTGGCTGTCCCTCTCTACCACACTCTCGATATTAGTCTTGCTCTCCTCTCCTCGCTTCCCCAGCTGCGAGCGCACTCCACGATATCTAGCCATTGCTGACTAGCTCGTCGATTGCAGGATCCGAGGTAGTAGCCAGGCTGACAGTTGTTGCCGCCGTGAAATGAGCTCCTTACCGTCAGCGATGCCCAGCCTTGAACGTGACCAGATTGGACAGCGAGGTCCAGGAGATGCCATTTGTACTGGACTCGTCAGTGGTCTTGACCACATTAAGAATCCCCAGCTGAACAAGGTAGGTCGCACGTTACGATATTCCTTCGTGCACGCTAATGTCATCCTCTGCTTGATTCTTAGCTTCTCGTTTTTTCGTTCAACTCCTCTTAAAGAATTAACACTCCTACGAGTAACGATCGTCATCGGACATATAACGAAAGAGATATTGGCACACGACCTCCGAGCCCACGCGACTCGATTAACTCTTTGCCTTTCTGGGTTTGACGTTTGCGCCTCGAAGCACGTTACGAGCTTCTCTCCTTGCCCAAGCATTCGCCCTTTTGCATGTCGCTTCCACAGCGCGAACTGTGCAAAGCGAACAAGGTGTCTACAAGCGCCGTGTACACGTACGTACGTCATTCGATTCACCCTTTTCTCATAACGTCATTCCGATGGAAAATGCTTTGCCCTGTCTTTGATTCCTCGAAATTGGAAGATTGTCGAAACAGACGTTGAACATTCCCAGATCATTTGTCTGGCTAGGTTAGAAACCTCGTATGATAAAGAGCAAAGGACAAAAGGCAGTAAACAGGTACTTGTGCTGATTCACTCAAACGCAAAATTCATTAACATAAGCATCGATGAAAGATCCCAGACGCGCGCGCGTCAGCAGCCAATTGCCAGGAAACTTGTTTAGTTGGAGTTCGTACTTTACAACCAGCAATACAAGGTTTTGGACTATGCGCCGTTCGGCTCGGAGGAGTGTCACTTCCGCAATGACTGTCCAATCGCATTCCGAAAAGGAAAAACAACTCCGAGTCATCGAATAACATGGACTGGCGAAACAACAGGGCCGATTGCATGAGTCTGAAAGTTAATGCCGAGTAATTCATATTCTTTGCGGATGTTGCTACCTTGAATGGGGGTTACGTTGATTTTTTTTCGTTTGGTTAGATGTCGATCCAGATCAGAATTTGTCATAGCTCAAAGCGAGTCCTTTTCGCGCTGTCCAAAACCGCAGGCCACGCGTGAAAGTATCGCGTCCGGTGCAATCGAGCACCGGCAGGCGCGTTCGACGCGTGACCTTGGACGAATTTGCCTGTTGAACTGGGTCGCGGGCTGCCGCAGGTCTCGCACTTTAGAGAGAGTTGCTGCGACGCCGATAGAATCGACACCTCACCGAAAGGAAATTCCGAATGAAAATGATTCACGGCGACCTAACGTTGTGCACTGTGTGATTTAGAGTGGTAGGATGACCTTTGACTGTTAATATCGATTGCGCTTGAGTTGCTGGTGGAGGGTGGGTGGGGGTGGGGGGGAATTGCTTGAGTTTTGTGAGACGAGGAACCCCGGCAACCGTATCCACGGAGGGTTGTTTGTTATACGGGGTGGTAGGGAAATCTACGGAGCGAGGAACCAAATGTCAATACGTGTTGAGGCTCTCAAGAAGATGGAGAAGGACTGGTGGACCTTGGTCCCCTATCGTGAAGATCATATTCCGCCAATTCCTGAGGCTCTGCTCGCCATCGATGGACGGGTATAAAGTGGGCCGACCGAATCTCCGTCCCCTCTTCCTACTTTATAGCTTTGATTAACGCGAACCGTCATAAATTCGAGGCAGCCAGCGTATCGGGAACTCGTGCTTTAAAGTTGGTTGTTTTTATGCGACGTCATACGACGATAAGATAGTGATCTTGTTTAGGAATTTTAGCATCGCTTAAAGTAGCAACGTTTAAAATTTGACGAGAAGGTCGGCGCTTGACTCGACCCGATCATGCACTCGTCGCGTGAAAAGCACTTCTACAAAATGAAGAACTGTGGACCGTTTCTAGGAACCCAACGAAGAATGTGTTTCCGACCCGTGGGACAATTTCGTGATTATTCGTATTTGCGGCAGCGTGATGGTTGCATCGAAAAATAAAGAGACGAGGGTATAGCAAGAATCGCGTGGGTGGTGTTCGAGGCGAATCGTGGAGCAGCGTCCGTCGAGTCCCGATGGTAGGTCGACGACCTCCACGATTGGATTAAAGGGCTGATCTCCCTGTTTAACCTTGTGCGAGTTATCTAGCGGAAAAACACGGACTCTCTCAGACAAGGTAGACGCTTCGGAAATAGCGAGGCTCTCCATCCTGACCATCCAATTCATATTGAGCGCCCCAAAATATGCATTTAGCTTACCTAAAGGTAATTTGAAGCCTCAAAATTGAGATATATTCAACGGCGGCAAGGACGGCGTCTACGGCGTCATCTTGACCGTGAAAGAAATGATACAACAATCGCTCGACGAAGCGACCTCGTACTATGCCCCGTCCTATCGGAATGTTACGTAAGCATCGAACCTGGAATATGTTATCGCTGCCGGAGCCCGAGGATCCGCCGACGATTGACGATACAGCCAATAATAATCCCGACTATAATCATGAGCTTGCTAATCGCGCACGTTCGTGTGCCGTTCGTGTGCCGACCGTGCCGATGCGCTAAGGACGCGTGTTTGCGATTCTGCTTGAAGTCTATCAACCGTCGCAGGCAGATCTCTGGAGCATGGATGTTCACACCAGTCGCCCCACGGGTGAGAGGGAGCTATGAAAAGATCTTGACGGGGAACATTCGGCGACTGGGTCGTACCCTCTCCTTCCTCTCCATCCGTACGAAAGCGAAAGTGAATACCCTGGAGGCTCAATTCGATCGGGATTACATAAGCCGCGCTCTACTGCGACTGACTGTGGACTCTAACGTCCCACAAAGTCTATCGTGCCGAAGGCCGGGAAAGCCGCGAGACGCCTGAAGGTCAGGGCATCGAATGTGCCGTCCACTCTCTGTCTCGGTTGGTCCAACCGCTTGGTCTACGCATGCGCGCGCTCACGTAGGCAGGAACAACAATCTGTTATGTAATTGTGCCATATAGTAGAGACCGAACGTTGGACGCTTTCTGAATAGGAGGAGGGAGAGGGGGGCGCAAAGAGTCAGGACGTCAGAGGTGACGGTGCGGTCCTACCGCAGGTCACGAACTGACTGCGCATTAATCCAGTAGCTCTCACGTGATGCACTCGCGCAACGCGCTGCGCTACGGAATCACTATTCGCTCCGTATAAGCAAACAAAGCTTTGTCCCTCCGGCCGAACGGCTGCCTTCGAATTCCTCGAAGCTGATAACCATCGGGTCACCTTTGTTCGGAGCAAGCCCGGCATAGGACATTTCCCAAATTCCCATAGGCGTTTCGTATGTAGAATAGCACAGCAACGAATAGGATCGACACGATGGGCAAAGCGCCAGACAGCGTCCTCGTTTCAATTACAATTGGAGTCGATCATTTGAGCGCCGTCAAACTAGTAATCGATTCCACTTTCCAAGCGAACTATGAATTACTCGAAGGTCCGACCGCGAATAATATCGTTGCTCTGTGTGCCCATGGAAACGCAGTACTTCGTCAGGTTCCCCCTCCATCGACAATCTTGCAATGTTATTTCGATATAAAGTTCAAGCGTGACTCGGAGATTTCTTTGTCGGGAAAGAAGCAAATCAGCTGAGAGTTAACGATCGCGCGAGTTTCAAGGTAGTCGCACGATAATGAGAGTTAAAGCTTCGCCTTCCGCGGTGTCCTCCAGGGAATGGCCTTCACTATCGAGGAAAGGCAGACACTTGGAATTCACGGACTACTTCCGGCCGCGGTAAAGACTCAGGACGAGCAGCTGGAACTTTGCCGTCTCAACCTAGAACGCTACACGGATGACCTCTCCAAGTATATATATCTGACGGGCCTTCTGGTAAATATTCCCTCTCCATTGTCTTCTTGCTCTTCTCTTCCCCATTCTTGACCTGGAATGCCTTGCAGGATCGAAACGAGAGGCTGTTCTATCGGTTGCTCGGCGATAACGTGGAGAAGATGATGCCCCTGGTCTACACGCCGACGGTGGGTCTGGCCTGCCAGAAGTTCGGGCTGATCTACCGGAGGCCTCGTGGCCTCTTCATCAGCATCCATGACAGGGGTCACGTCTATGACGTCTTGAAGAATTGGCCAGAGCACGACGTTCGAGCGATCGTCGTCACCGACGGAGAGCGGATCCTGGGCCTGGGTGACCTTGGAGCTCACGGCATGGGCATTCCTGTGGGGAAGCTCTCGCTCTACACCGCCCTTGCTGGTATAAAGCCTCATCAGTGTCTGCCGATCACCCTTGACGTCGGCACCAACACCCAGGTGGGTAAAGGCGTGTCGTGTCGCGTTCCTTTCATAAGTATCCCGGCAAAGCGACGCTAACAGAGCTCGATGACGGCCATTATTGGCTGCAGTCGCTGCTCGACGATCCTCTTTACATCGGTCACAGGCACAAGCGCGTAACTGGAGTCGAATACGACGCGTTCCTCGACGAGTTCATGGGAGCCGTCGTTCAACGTTACGGACAGAACACTCTCATCCAATTCGAAGACTTCGGAAACGCCAACGCCTTCAGGCTGCTCACCAAGTACAGGGACCACTACTGCACCTTCAACGACGACATCCAGGGCACCGCGAGCGTCGCTGTCGCCGGTCTCATCGCGTCCCTTCGTATTACCAAGACCAAGCTCTCGGAAAACACGATTGTCTTCCAGGGCGCCGGAGAGGTAACTTTTGTCAGAATAAAATGGTGGATCCAAAGGTCGCTTATTGTCTTGATTGTCGTCTGCTCAGGCTGCTCTCGGGATTGCTGCTCTCTGCGTAATGGCAATGGAGAGAGAGGGAGTCAGCGTGGAGGAAGCCAAGCAACGGATCTGGATGGTCGACTCGAAAGGGTTGATTGTCAAGAACCGACCCGAGGGTGGCATTACTGAGCACAAGGTGCACTTTGCTCGAGACGACGCGCCTATCAAGACTCTCGGCGAAGTGGTCAAGCTGGCAAAGCCCACCGTCCTCATCGGAGCGGCGGCGATAGGTGGTGCGTTCACCAGAGACATCCTCGAGGAGATGGGAAAGAACAACGATAAACCCGTCATCTTTGCCCTGAGCAATCCAACGAGTAAGGCAGAATGCACGGCCGAAGAGGCCTACGTCGCAACTCAGGCAAGTTCATACTTCAGTCGTCCTTTTGCTAATTGTAATTACGAACGGACATTCTAACGACAGGCTTATTTGTACAGGGCAAATGCATATTCGCAAGTGGTTCTCCTTTCGACCCGGTCACTCTCAACGGCAAGACTTATTACCCTGGACAGGGTAACAACAGTTACATTTTCCCGGGAATCGCCCTCGGGGCAATTTGCGCGGGCATGCGATACATTCCGGAGGAAACCTTCCTTATTGCGGCGACAGTCCTTTCCGACCTCGTTACCGAGAAGGACTTGGATAGTGGAAATCTCTATCCTCCGCTTAACGACATCCAGACTTGCTCTTTGAAGATTGCCGTAAAGGTGATGGAGTACGCTTTCAAGAATTGTAAGTCTATTCGGTTCTCTTTAAATTGTTCTCTGTCCTTGGATCCTTTTACTTTAAGATGCGTCATTTCGTTTGACAGCCCTGGCCACTGTGCATCCTGAGCCGAAGGATTACGAAGAGTTCGTGAAAGCCCAGCTTTATGACACCAAATACAAGGCGTCGGTGCCGCCGACGTATTCTTGGCCAAAGCTCTAACTTCAGTTACGAATCAAGTCGTTCTCAATGTGTTTCGCTGCAATGTCGCCCCGCAAGGACCCACCATCGCCTTACTCGAATGACTTAAGTCCACTGCCTCATTCGAATGACTGTTGTTCATATTACATACATATAAAGTAATAAACTCAATTGTAATTTGAGTTTGGAACATTGCAGCTTGGTCTACTATCAGAAGAATAACTCTACCGAAGAGACGTTGATATCGGATCTTTTTTGATTTGGTAAGGTAAATGGTATTTAATGAATGATTCCACGAAACAGGAATAGTTGTACAAATTGAGTTATGCCAATTTAATAAAGTCACTATTATTATTATTTAAAACAGATGTATTTATTGCCATCGAAAATAGCATCGCGATGTTCAGACATTTTGTATCGCGTATGACAATGGCGGGAGAGTATCGTTGATACGAGACGTCAAACTATTACATCGCATATACGGAAATGGCGACAACAGAAAGTGAGTTTTCGGCGTGGAGATATAATGAGAACAAAAAGATATCTTAAGAAAATTGTACGGACTTAGCCAGAAAGATCGTCGTCCTATTTACAGAAAAATGGAAAAAAAAAAAAAAAAACTCAGGCCAACAAAGTAATATAGTATATCATACTTGATTCGTACTGTGTCGTACGTTCAGGGGATCAAATGTAATTCAAATGGATGATTAGAATTCAGTCAATTATTCGCCCTGTGGAAAGATTTTCAAAAAATATTAGCAAATAATTGGATTCTGTGAAAAAAAAAACTGGCTCATTTCCTTCAAATTGGCATCGTGTTTAATTGTGTGTAAAGAGTCTGTGAATAAACAAACGCGTTCGGGCGTACGGGCGATTATGTAGGGAGCATGAATCGATCGGTGGAAGAGGACACCGCAGCATAGGCACCTATCGCGCGCCGTAGCAGAATCTCCTCCTCGTTCTTCGTCTTTAATTCTTTTTCTTGTCTACTTAGCACTCTACACGTAACTCACTATAACCTTACTGCTACTTACTCATCCGATCCTTAATCTCGAACAGTATCGAGTTATACTAACTTACAACAAATAGATTGTAAAGTGCGACCAAGTTATCTTTACTTCAAACTTTGTTGCGTAATAACATTCGTAATAAAATTAAGAGATAAAATGTACAGAAGAGCGTTACAAAATGTTTACAATTCCCGGGACACTGTTACGCTAAACCGTCCAGACACTTGAATTTCCGCGTGCCAAGCCGTATTTCGCTGTTGATCGAGCTCGATTACTCGAGACGCGAGGGACTCCTTCGCCATTTCGTAGCGCCGACGCATTCCAAGCCCTCTCGACGTTTCCGGCTACCGATTCTTACGACGACGGACCAGAGGAGAACTACACGCAAAGGATGAAGCCGCAAGTGGATAGCAATAGGAAAGCGTGTAAGAAGAAAAAGGAAGAGTGGTAGGCAGAAAGTGAGGATGAGAAGGGGTCAAGAGGAGGTTAGAAAGTGCTGAGAGAGAAGAAAAGAGGATTGAGAATTTATAAGAAAAAGTAGTGAGAGGCGCGATGACGATGTCGTCGTCGTCGTCGTTGGCATCGTTGGCATCGTTGGCGTGTCTGTCCAGTACGGAGGTCGGTCCCTTTCCTAGCTTCATCGGGAGAGCGAGTGAGAGCGTTCGTGGGATTGCTGGGAATGGTCACCGGCTGCTCTTGGATCCGGTAATCTCTGGGAAGCCGGAAGCGCGTCGAAGAAGGAGTGGGTCAAAGCATCCTTCAGGGTGATGCGCTGCGACGGCTCGTACTCTAGCATTCGCTGGATCAGATCAAACAACTGCCGATGGTCTTCGTCATCAGAGAGCAGATATCGCTAAAAGATGGAAGATGTGCGTCAGGTAAAAACCAATACGCGTAACGGAAGACGTAATTTTGGTCGCTACGGATGATACTCACGTCGAGAGGCTTGCAGTTATTCCGTACGTATCTACCAGCGGAACTCTTATCGTCCCAGTCAAGCTTCCCGTGATAAAAGTACTTGGTTTTTGTTTTGCGGGCCATCCGATGCGGAATCTGTCCCAGAATACGCTCCATCATCGCAAGATGCTCGCGGTTGTCGTGCGTTTGGAACAGCGTAATGCCCAGGTACAGCTCGAACAGTATACATCCAATGGACCAAACGTCGCAGGGCTGCGACCATCCTAATTCTGCGCGACAATCGAAACAGATGCGTGTTGAATGAACAAATCGAAAAATTGCTGCGTTTTGTGAGAAAATACTGACCTAAGATAACTTCGGGCGCCCTGTAATGCCTCGTACTGACGATCGTGCTGTGATGCTCGTGATCGAAGGTAGCGCTACCGAAATCAATGAGCCTGATGTCCGTCCTCTTAACGCGCCGTACGTCTTTTCGCTTAAACAGAAGGAACTTTTTGAGACGCTTTAGAATAAACTCCATCCTTCGCAAAATGACGAATATCACAAGGTCTGAGAACGAAAAGCGAAGCCATTTCTCGTATCGACGACGCCGTATATCGTATCTCGTCCTTGGACGAGTCCCCGTGTCTGACAAAAATGACTAACCTTTTTACTGTTATAAGTCGTGTCAAAGTCAGAATCGACGAAGAGGATGTTCTCCGGCTTCAGGTCGGTATGAGTGAGTTTATTATCGTGAAGAAATTTGACAGCGTAGCAGAGCTGGTAACCCATGTGCCTCACGTGATCCAGTGGGTATGGCTGATAATTGTTGTCTCTCTGTTAGAAACGATGCATTTCATCGGACACAGTCCAAGGAACGCGAGAGAATCGCAAAATACTTATAATACTTACCAAGAAGTCAAATACGCTGAGGCCCAACATTTCAAAGGCAATGCACATGTGGCCGTGGTAATTGAACCAATCGAGCATTTTAACACATAAGCTGAAAAGAAATTAAGTCCAGTGAAAAGATCTGTCAGTCAAATAGTAGCGAAACTGGTAGCAGACTTTAAATACTGACTGTTGATTTTCCGGATCTTTTAAGGCGATCTTCTCCAAGGCGTTGATTTCGAGTTTCGCAGCCTCTCTGTATTTCTCGACATTCTTAATGATCTTCAGCGCCATCACGTGATCCCTGCGAAGAAAAGGAAACATGGACCCAAAGGCAAGATCGCATGAGAGTGCTTGGGCGATAGGCGCAGGCAACGCCAAACTTCTCGTTTTTTCTCCTTATTATAAGAATAAGAATGTAATAATATAAATGTCTCAATGTTTTCGCGCTTGCGAAGAACGTCCGTTCCTGCACCAAGTACGCGGGTTGATTGGCAGAGCAGCCGCAAGATGCGCGTGCTGAGACAAAGTGCATAGTCGTCCCATCATTACCGCCTCTTATATCACCACCACCTCCTCCTTCTCATTTATAACAGCACGTGCGCTTTTTTTTTTGTTTCTAGAGAAGATTTTTAACATGCGGTCGATACGGTCCCTGAGTTTGCCATATAGCGCTAGGAGCTAACCTAGCTATAATATAAAAAAGTACACGTGTATGGAGAGCTGAGTGCTCGCACTTACATCTGCAAGTCCTTAACCTTGACAACTTTTCCAAAAGTACCCTCTCCTAGGGTGGCCAGTACTTTATCTGCAATGGAAAAGTCTGGGTAAGTATCAAGAATAGACGGACCTCCCGCCTCGGAAGCTCTAGGGGTTCCAACGAAAAGGCACTCTCTTGCTCACCTCAAGATGAGGCCTACAGGGCGACGCGGCGGTAATTACAATGATTCTCAGTCTAAAGAATGACGATTGTGGAAAACAAACGAAAAAAAAAAAAACGAAAGGGATAGTACAAACCGGCCAGTCGGTTTATTAATTATGAAAGAGACTTCCGGGAGCGTTCGGTCGGATGAATGAACAAGTATAGCGTAATGACTGTTGTTCTCCTTAAGCCCTAAAGTCCTACGGCCCTGACAGAAACAACGAAATAGCATTGCCTCTCTATGTGCCGCGTTGAAGTTACTTGAAACTTGAGATAATGTAACGAATATAGAGGGAAACTAGAAACTGATCATCATAGAGAGAGAGAGAGAGAGAGAGAGAGAGAGAGAGAGAGAGAGAGAGAGAGAGAGATAGCCAGACAATACGAGGAAATGCTATTCGCTCCTAAGGGGACGAAAAGTTCTTCCCGATGTCTACACCAAAGAAAAGCGCTATTGCGATGTACGAACCAAGATAAAATGACAACAAGTGATACCGAATATTTCGTGCTCGAAAACTCGAAAGTAATGCTAAGGCGCCTTTTCCTCGAGTGTTGACGTCGGGACGACAACTTCCGATTCGCGATTACAGCGAGATGTCCGAACAGCATCTGAAAAGTTAATGTGGCACAGCGAGTGCGCGAGAATGCCAATTAATTTTGTAGGGAGAAATATATATATATATATATATATATATAAATATATATATAAATATATATATATGTGATCGACATCGCGACTGACAACATCATGGAGTGTAGGTAGCGTGTCAGAGTACAATGCCTACAGCAGCTGGTAGGAAGATCGATAGATCGATAGATCGAGAGACATTAAAGACGTTATGAATAAAATAAAACAGTGTGTGAGAAGTGAGTACCAGAGAACGAGCTAATGAAAGTATTTAATTATTAAAGAAATAAGGAACAATGAGAGAATGAGAGTTTGACAGATAGACTGATAGAAATTGAAGTAAAAAGAGAAAGAGAGAAAGAGAGTAAGAGAGTAGGAGAGTAAGAGAGAAAGTGAAAGTAATAGATAAATAGAAAAAGAGAAATAAAAATAATAGAGTACTATAATATGGTGGTACGGCATGACCGATCGGATCGATCGATCAGGCTTGCTTAAATCTACTACAATGAGTGTATTCACGTATTCACGAACATCTATTTGCCAGGATGTCGCCGGATCGGTAAACAAGGTGGCCGTCTTCATCGTCCTCGACGGAGGGCGGTCGTGGGCTCTATTTCCAGCAAAACGGATGCCATTCGAGAGCGTGTTCAAGGTGCATTCGTGCGCGTGTGCGTGGGTACATTCGCCCCGGGTGGTTCCCATGTTATTCGTGCAGTCATCGCCCCATCGTGTTCATCGTCGTGAACCATCATCAAGCCCATCGTCGATGATCCAGCGAAGCAGCAGCAGAGCAGATACCGCATGTCCATGGTCGATGAGGTTCGTAGAAGAGCACCACGACAACATCCGCCGCCATAGGCACCCGGTCGGAGGTCGCACGAATCAGTGGGTTGGTCGGTCATCGGCATCATCATCGTCATCATCAGCATCAGCATCATCGTCATCGTCATCGTCGTCGTCGTCGTCATCATCATTATCATCATCATCATCATGATCGTGATTATATGATCATCATCATCAACATCATCATCATCATCATCATCATCATCATCATCATCATCATCACCACCACCACCACGAGGACGACGGCACACGGACGGACACGCGGCAGGATGTAAAAACGGACGGACGGGCGAACAGACGGAGGGACGAACGGACGTGTTGGGGGATTAACCGGTCCCGCCAGGCATCATGACCGATCCGAGCGCCCACCAGTCGATTGACCATTCCATTCCATTCGATTCCATTCCATTACAACGGAGATGTAACCCAACAATCAGAGAGAAAGGGGAGAGGGCAAAATGATTTGCCAAGTCAGAAAGTTGCGGGGCATGTATTACCATCGGCACAAAAGTAAAAGCAAGTCAAAGATATTATAACAAAGACAATGTTCGCGATGCGAACAGAACAGAACAAGACGGCATCATCGGCTCGGCCTACTCTCGGCGTTCACCCTCGGCCTCTACCTCCACCACGTCCTCACGTCACTAACCTAACGTACCTCATTGGCTCAGACAGGTTGACGGAGAGCAGGATCAACGGACGGTGAATCGGACAGACACAGGATTGCAGGAAAGAGGTAGAGAGAGAGAAAGACAAGGGGAAAAGAGGAGAGAGAGTGAAAAGGAGAGAGAGAGAGAGAGAGAGAGAGAGAGAGAGAGAGAGAGAAAGAGAGAGAGAGAGAGAGAGAGAGTGAAAGTAGAGGGACCCCATTTAAATGCAAGAGATTACGGCGTAATAGAAATGGAACAAGCGAAAGAATTCAATGACTCTGATGCGCGTACGAAAGATACAACTCGGTTTTCCGCGATCCCGATTCTGCACCAAGGAGGAACAGATCCGCGTGAGGTAGTCTCGGTAACGTACATACCACGTGCAAGAGTACTTCGAATTTCGAAATTAGGATTAGGATCCCGAACCTTCGATAAAATCCCAGCAGCTCTTCCCGAGATAAAGATAAACGCAGTTTATTTTTGTCAAGGACACTTCTTTTTTATCGGCCGTATCCGCGACGTAACGCTGTTGTCCTCAAGTAGCCCGGGCCTCCAAAAAATCCCCATTAACATCAGACCCTTACCTTCATCCATGATCCCACCCACCACCCTGAAGTCGCGGTAGGCCTACTATGTGCTTTATTTCAGAATACAGGCGAAGAAGGAAGAAGGGAAAAGAGAAAAAAGAGAAAAAAGACAAAGGAAGATGGGGGAAGGAGTTTGCTGATAATTCGCAATACTGTCTGATGGCACAACAGAGAACAGGCGAGGAAGAAAAGACGCGGCAGGAAGCGACGCACTTAACGGGTCGACAGAGAGTCGATCGAGCTGATCCGGCTGGTCACTAGATAAACACTATGGAGGAACACTCTCTCACGGCAAACGCAGGCGTGCACTAGTTTTGGCGGGTGCGTCAACAAGGCAGCAGTTCGTTAGTTGATGCTCGGTTGTCAAGGAACCAGAGATTGGGCGTTAACGTCAGCCGAGGGGAAAGAGCAGGGGTGAAGGCAAGAGTCGGAAAGTCTTGCGAGGTTGAGGGGATTGAGGAGATTGAGGAGATTGAGGGGATTGAGGAGATTGAGGATGTCCAGGAAGGCAGGGCGATCGTGCAGAGCAGCGGCAGCACGCACTCGACAACTTACAATCGGAGTCGTGATCGTGATCGTGTCCGCGCCGTTCACGTTCGCGCTCGCGCTCGCATTCTCGATCGCATTCTCGATCGCGTTCGTGCTCGCGGTCGGATTCCGCTGATACTTGCTGGCTATGAGATCGGCAGTGCTGGGCTGGGCAGGCGTCGCATTTCCGCCTCCGGATTGGGCGTAGGCTTCGTCGATAGCCGCGTACTTCATTATCAGACTCTGTATCTCCTTGCGCTTTGCTTCTCGTTCGGAAACGGCCTGATCGGCTTCGTCGGCGATGTTCGCCGCGCAGCTGCCAGTCGGCGTCTTCTCAGGATCCATGGGCTCCCTCGTGCACGTGGGATCGATCTCGATCGGTCGCAAACGGAAATTCCCAGCCGCGGCTCCTTCGAGCTGCTCGCTTTTGCCACTTCGATGCGGACGAACCTTGCGACTGCGAGTTTCCGCGTGGCCGGACTTGTGTCTTCCATATCGCCGGTAGGCCTCGGAGTTTACGAGACTCTGTCGCTCGACGGTGCGATGCTGATAACCAGGAGTCTTATCGCGACGTGAATCGGCGAGGGTCCCACCACTCACGTACGGATAGGCCTTCTCGGAGAGGAGGACGCTCGTCGGACTCTTGACGATGGTGCGAGAGACGGAAGGCTCCAGGGTCTTCTCGTCGCGAAGGTAGCTGCCGTCACGTCGATAGTAGCTGTGGTCGCGTTCCAACTTCCGCGTGTAGCTGTCCTCCGGCTTTCGAGAGTATCGCTCCAGGACCGAGGAGTACTTGTCCTCGAGGCGGCTGCGGGTACTTCCGAGGTTGCTGCCGGAGGAGGCGGAGGAGGCGGAGGAGCCTGAAGCGGAAGCAGTGCTGGCGACGCGATCGGCCGCAGAGGAAGGTCCGCGAACACGAGTAGTCAGTCGTTGAAGAAGACTGGAGCACGAGTCACTTAGGAGTTGCGTTACGCTGGTAGTCGACGAGCGCGAGTAACGACTCCGACGCGTCGAGCCCTGGCGCGTCGTCGACATGTTGTCGCGCGGTGTCAATGCAAACATCCGCGCTTCCTTTTGGCTTTTTTCTTTGTTTTTCTTTTTTTTTCTTTTTTGACTTTTTCCTTACTTGCCAAAGATAACAAGGTGTCGAATGGAAAGACGGAGGGGAAATGGCCGATAGCGACCAAGGGACCGCGGAGGAAGAGGAGGTCGAGAAGGAGAGGAGAGACGACGGTGAAGGAAGGAAAAAACTGGGAGATTTCGCTATTCGGACAAGAGGATGCTAACGTAGATTATTATATATAGAGAGTCAAATGTCGAATGCCGATAACGCTGCCAACTTCGAGGGAGCACCTGACGGCCTTGGTCCTTTACTATCGGTAATGAGTGGTAAGTATCCGGATACGCCAAAGTCCTCTCTCGTTCCGACGGTCAAGTCTTTTCTCGCGTAACGCATAGTGTGCCCGCGCGCACCCGCGCGCACCCACCACTTTTTACCACCCGAGTTATTCCTCGTTAAGAGTAACGGATCTTCGAATCTTCGACGACGCTTTCGATCTTCGAGGGAGCATAACGGAACGGAACGAGGATGCCGATCGCACAAGAGGGATGCACTAAAGATACGAGACGACGGCACGCACGACCCGCCCCGCCAAATACTGTCGGACTAAAAATACCGAGCAGCCGAGCCCGCTCCAACAAATAATGCGTCCTCTAGCAACGCGCTCTCGCCCTCTCGTCTCGAGGAAGGCCGTCCTAGTGGATTACGTAAATTCTCTTTCTGTCCGTTTATTTAAAACATTGCCAATCGATGCACTATAGCCAGGTGAGCCAACTGCATTGTAATCGAGCACATTACTATGTCACGAGGCAACAAAAAATGACCATTAGAATCTTCTGCAGAAACTCGGAGGCAGCATCAGCAGATCAGCACACCAGCACCACCAACACTGTCCGATCAAAATCGAAGCGCGACTCTCGCTATTGCCTGCGACGTTCTTGGATTTTTAGTGCCCAATCGTAACGATTCCCGAAGTGGATAGTCTTTAAAGTCTTCCTTTTCAGTCGGAATAGTCTCACTTCTGCGTTCACTAGGTGCGTTCGCTAGGTCACTGTTCCAAGGAGGCGCGGGTGTCGAAATCGTCGAAATCGTGAAGCATCTCGCTCGGCAGAAGGAGCGAGAGTCTAGCGCGAGAAAACGTTCGGTTCTACGAGTATCGAGTGTGCTCGGAAGAGGATCTTCTATCGAGCGATTATAACTGCTAGGTAGGGAGCCCGAACGTTACGCGTAGTACTGGTCAGCATCTAGGTGGGCGGTTCGTGGACTCGACAACTATTAATAAGCCTCGGGGTGGCTTCAAGGTCGAATTTGGAGACAGTGATACCAATTTTCTCAAAAGCAAATTAACGGGAGCACGCGCTGCTAGGCTGGGCTTGGCGCAATGCAACGAAGGAACGAGAATACCAAGAGGCGAATAAAAGTGCAAGTGCAAATGCAAATCTGAAGGCGAACTTGGCCCGCGGCAGCATCTCTTGCTTTTTCCTCCGTCGACAGTTCCTCATGGTCAGCAGTGCGACCAGCAAGTCGCGTAGCAGCCAAAGTCGAGACGCGTCCATAAAATTCATATAGCTTAACAGGAAACGGAGAAGCTCAACTTACGCTGAACGGTTCTATAGAGAAATTATCGCAGTTAATTAAATAAGACGACGCTTCGTGCCTACTATCCCTACTCTCGCGGCGCACTTGTTTACTTGTTGCAATGGCACGCTTTCCCATCAATGAGTTATCGGTGGTATTTGCCCCAAGTGGTCGCTGCGATAACGCGAGCAGTTGGCTACATCACGGCTGGTTTCGCTCTCAACGCCTCGACACGCAAAGAAGATTTAGCCGAGGAGTCGACTCGATTTGGCTCAGGTTAGACACCAATGGAACTTGCCGAGGCCTATGCTTGCTAGCCTAACCCACACCACTCCTTTTCGCGTTCCTCGACCTGATCCTAATAGTTCCGCAACGCGTTCCAAAGCTACTCATCCTAATGTTGCTAGTAAAATTCACGTAATGCCACGCCGTAAGAAAAACGAACCACTTGAAGTAATTCTCATTGCCAGTGGGTTTTCGCCATAGCTAATGTGTGATTGATCAATAGAAATCAATGGACGAACATTCATTACCTTTGGGAAAACACCATTAAAAATGATAAATTTTGCTAAGGGAATGGAAATAGAGAAAAGATGAAAAAACGGAGGTAAAAGAGAAAGCAAAAGGTAGATACATAAAAGAATTGGGGAAAAGATTCATTGTGCAGTCGGACGAGCAGATCGAATGGATGACTGAATAGCACGATGGGGCACAGGAGACACTAGGTGGAAGCAGGACAGCAGGGCGAGGCAAGGCTTCCGCCAGGTCGCGCGAATGCTACTGTTCCAAATATAAATATAACGACGGGTACAGCGCGCTCTATTCCGCGATCCGACTGCCTCTCTGTGAGAGTAGCGGCTAGATGCGAAGGTATTTAAATGTTAAACCGGGTTGCCGTGGAACGGAAATAAATACGCACGGCTACGTCGGGATGAGCGCTTGCTCGCCGTCTCCGTCTCACCAACTCCGCGTTTGTCCTAGGCGTGTGCTGCTGCGTGTTAGGAGCGCATGTTAGAGAGAGTAAACGGACTATGCTTTAATGATTCGGACGATAGCTGATTAGCTAACGCTGCTACCTCGGAATTTGAAGATTCGGATTCGGGGGTGACCTCGAGTTTTATTTCGAATGCAGCCTGCGGGTCGACCGTTTCAATGTGGCAGTTCCCGAATGACTGGAACCAGGGAGCCCAGGGATCTTCCGCGCCACTGACGCCGTAACCAACACCAACAGCTTCGGCATCTTCACCACTGGCAGCACTGGCAGCGCTGCCAGCACTGCCAGCACTGCCACAGTTATCAGCACCTCCACCCCCTGGGATCCCCTGCATTGGCCACCACATTGCCATTTCCTTCGGTGCTCCTAAGATTCCCAATAATCCAGGTGCCAAGCCCTGTTGTGCCATCGGCAGCCCACTGAGGAAACACAAGCTCTAAATTGTTCTCTTTCGCAGATAACCGGTCAGTGGCTGGACCAAGATTGTTCGCGAAAGGCCAACCTGAATTCACAATAAGCAGCGAGGACGCGCACTGGACACTGGGCGCGTCTTTCAGTCGTCGGCTGTCTCGAAGGTTCGTCGCCACTGATCTTACTGGCGCATCCTAGAGCAAAGACTGACGTCGCTTGACCGTTCAATTATATCCTTTCTTGCGCTCTCTCTCTCTCTCTCTCTCTCTCTCTCTCTCTCTCTCTCTCTCTCTCTCTCTCTCTCTCTTCCTCTCTCTTTGGCTCTTTCTCTATCCTCTGGTTTCCGCTTTGCTAGGAGCTGACGCTGTCGTTATTCTTGCCAGAAGAATGACGATTAGACCGCAACAACGATTGCAACAACAACAACGACGACGACGACGACGACGACGACGACGACATCGTATCGTCAGGTCAACCTCCACCGAGCCGGCCTACCGCTACGAAGTACGACGCTGCGTTGGCCATCTGGCACAAACTCGCACTGAACGCTGCGAAACGCGTGACGAGTCTTCTCGAAAATAGTCGTGGCTCGAAAATAGCTCCGAAGAAAGAAAGAGGAATCATCAACATTCACAGCACTCGACCACGAGCAGCTTCTCCAGGGACGATGCCGAACTACCCGAGGATGCCGTGCACGTCGCCTGCGTCCCTACTCCCGGCAATCGCCTCTTCCACCACCACTTCTCTATATCAGCTTCACGTGTCTTCTCGTCGCCGTTCGTTATCTTTTCCTCCACCACCCGCCGCGCCTCTGATGTCCTTATTTTCATTATTTTCCATCAAATCCATAATAACGGACAAAAATAGTCATTCAAAGTATCAGTCCGCAGACACGGGATAACTCTTGACTTTTGGTTTGACCGGTCAGTCAGATCTTATGGTCTTAACTCTTGCCCAAAATGGTTCGTGTCTTTCCGTCTTCTGTGCTCCACACGCGTCTTGTTTCTTCTTCCTCTTCAGAAGACAAAAAGGGCTGTAAGGTTGAAGAAGCAAGGAAGAAGAGAGGAGGAATTGCAGGGAACACGTGAGGAAAACTCTGAGGGTCTTGCGCCGTGAACGCTCGCCGCCTATTTAGTGCATGCCTTGTCGTATGCGCCAATTCTTTTACGTGCGATGTGCGAAAATGCGGAATAGAATACGTAAGAGATATACAGAGTGATTTGAAAATGATGGGTAATTGTTAGGAGGCGGAGGAGGAGGAGGAGGAGGAAGGAGGAGGAGAAGGAGGGTGAGGATGAGGGTGAGAGAGAATAACCGAGCGAGCGATAAGTGTGCCGCCCTCGCGATGAAGGTTCCTCGTGGATCCTCGATTAAAATTAATTAAGGAATAGAGAGTGTCAAACTGACCTGCTGACTCCTGGAGGATGGCGAGCGCTGGTGGTGACGCGTGGGCTCGTGGGTGGGGGACGGCGTCGTCGCATGGTGCCGGTGAGTCCTGGTGCGTCGGGAGGTCGTCGGATGGGCGACGTGCGTCCTGTCGCGATCGCGTTCCCTCTCCCTCTCCCGCTCCCGCTCCCGATCCCGATCCCGATCCCGATGCGTGTGTTGCGCGTGGACGTGCGAGTGTTGCCGGCCGCTGCTCGGCGATCTGCGATGGCTGCGCTTGTAGCGGCGCTCCACGCTAGTTCCTCGCTCGTGCTGCCGCGATCGCAGTACCCTCTCGCCGCTGAAACAGAATCACTAATGAACCTCCTCGTCCTCCTCCTCCTCCTCCTCCTCCATTCGCATTGGTCTACCTTTAACGCTAGTTCTATTAAAAATAATGTAGCCCGATCAAAAAGAGTAGCTGTCTTTTCTTTTCATATTCCACTATTCACGAATAAACGCTCTCGCCTTCACTCTCTCGAGTTTATCATTAGGCAGCGTTCCAGCGTCTAATTATAGAAAGTACAAAGATGCCCGGCGGTAAGTCCGGAATGTGGAATATGGGACACAGAGACACACGAGACGTCTTTTAATACAATTAAAGGCAAACTTTCTTCTTCTTTCTCTCGACGGGAACATGAGATGATCGTGTTAGAACCGATAACCTGAGGGAGAATATCTCATGTGCACGTAGAGATCTAAAGTTCAAGGCGACTCGATAACCCGTAAACGAGAACTTGATAATGCTCACATATGCACACGTTATTAAGACCTTACAGCCTCGATACGTTTGATCCTCCCCCTGCCAGCCGAGCATTCGGCTAGTCAGTCACGCATTCACGATGAGCCAACGCTTCTTCGACAGGTATTAATCCTATGTACACTTGAAATAGCGCTGCTGTTCCCAATATCGGATATATCGGTATTATTTATTCGTTCTCTACCAGTAAACAATGACCGTCGCCAACTCAAGTAACGTTGACGTCATGAAGCCGGACGTGTCGTTTGACTCGGATGAGGAAAAGAAAAATGGAAATAAAAATCCTCTAGATTTTCCTGCAATTTGATCTTGGACTTTGTCCAAAGGCCTTGGACACTCTGACAGACATTCAAAATAAGCAGCTGCTGCGATTCACACTAAATGGGTCATTCGATTGTGCGTTGTGCCGATTCTTCGATTGGTTCCTCCCCCCCCCCCCCC